TAACAGGTATAAATTGTCTCAGAAAAGCCAAATGAATGTATTTTTACCCCACCCCCTAAAATTGTAACACATCAATTCTGAACAGAATTTTAATACAGCTCATAATGAATTAATTCACTCTGACACAAACTAAGTTCAATATAAGTTTTAAAATTTTTTTCTGAGCGGGGACTATGACATGACATGTCATATCTTGTTTTATGTTATTTTCGACTTGTTCTTGAAACCATGTTGAAACACAATCACTTTGTTTGTATACCTTGCATAGATTTTGTTAGATTTGTTCATTTAGCTCTCTTTACAGTTATCCACTGTAAGAGTAATTCAATAACCTTTTCAATAATCATGATGGCATCACCAAGCTCTATAGAGACAGCAAAGCTATTGTGACCGTTAGGTCGCTTGTTTTAATAAGGGTTCATTTGATTTGATAACCTTTATTTCATCTACTTTCTCCCTAAATGGTCAAATTTTCTGGGCACAACCTGTATTCACACTTTACCTTAGAAGGTCTTCTTACTACACTTTAACTTGTACAGATGCTAACTACACATAATGAGAACTCCATCTACGCAGCACCATTGGTTTTTCCTATGACAATGTCAATTCAAGACTAACAGGAAAATAAAAAAAACAAAAGCAGCTAAAAGTTTCTACTCTCATATCCAAATTCCGGATGAGCATCTACGTCATTGACGTTCTGGTTTTTAATAAAAATGAATATAGACAGATGTAGCATTTGGTCATATGATCTAGCATTGGCAGGTTCAGGTTCATGCACACAATGACAGTATCGCTGGTTGTGCCAGAGCTTTTTACTTTTACAAAGTATGCAAATCTGCCAAATGATGATGCATTTTCAACCTTCAAACATCATGGCACTATGGTAGTCATTCAAGTGATACTTTCTAACTGTATCAGCATTGCTGCAGATATGTTACACATGCCTGATATGGTTTATGTCATAAAAAAAAGGATTGAAGTTCACATTTTGTTGAAATCCCTGCTGCTGATACCATGTGTTACGATCTCCAGTTTGGAACATCATAGATGTAAACAGTTTTCAAGTTTTGCAATACATTTGCTTTACAAATTGAATAGTAACAATTTCTGTGTTATGATTTGCATGAAAAGTTAGAGCTTAAGTAATGTTGATGACTTTTGTCTAAATCAATTGTCTCCAGTCGCAGTTGTATATAATTTATTAAACATGCATTTATTTTCTTTACAGCATATAATTAAGTACCACAGAGCTTCTAAAGCAAACAAAAAACCAGTGCAGGTGCCAAGAACAATGGTGAAATCACTACTGTTTCAAATTTTAGATGGTATACAGTATCTCCATGCTAACTGGGTGCTACATAGAGACTTGGTAAGTCGATGAATAAGACCTTAACTTACTCTACTACCATGCTGCACTTTGAGTTAATGATGGTTTAATCTAAGGCCAAATATAGAGTTTTACTTCTTATTCTAGCAGAAATTGATCAAAATGCCACAAGTGAATATCTATTTTGTAGTATACCAGTACTAAATTTAAGTGAATTTGCTACCATGTCTAGCCCTCTGAAATTACAACCTTTCTAATTTTAGAAGCCTGCCAATATTCTGGTGATGGGAGATGGTCCAGAGAGAGGTAGAGTAAAAATAGGTGAGCAAAAATATTTGAACAAAGAGTAATGTATTAATTTAAAATTATTTATGAAGCACATAAGTGTCTTGTTCCAATGTCTTCCATGTTCTATCATATGTTGTAGTGGAAACCCTCATCAGTATCTTTTATCATGGATGGGTTGTGTTGCTTATTGAGGGCGGGTTTGTGAATTGACGCAACCCTTGCATGTTTATATGTTGGTCTGAATGCACATGAACCACTAGATATTTTGGCATTGATTACAGTATTATTGTAGTGGAACCACTGCACAATTATCTGCTCTGTTATGAATATATTATTGCCCGTTGAATAGGACAATGACCGCACAATTTCAGATTATTTGTCGTAGTACATGTATTTTGAATATTGACAACTCAAGGATTCCATTAGTGGAGAGTGTTCACTCCAGTCGCACAAATCAAGGATTCCATTAGTGGAGAGTGTTCACTCCAGTCGCACAAATCAAGGATTCCATTAGTGGAGAGTGTTCACTCCAGTCGCACAAATCAAGGATTCCATTAGTGGAGAGTGTTCACTCCAGTCGCACAAATCAAGGATTCCATTAGTGGAGTGTTCACTCCAGTCGCACAAATCAAGGATTCCATTAGTGGAGTGTTCACTCCAGTCGTACAAATTAAGGATTCCATTAGTGGAGAGTGTTCACTCCAGTCGCACAAATCAAGGATTCCATTAGTGGAGAGTGTTCACTCCAGTCGCACAAATCAAGGATTCCATTAGTGGAGAGTGTTCACTCCAGTCGCACAAATCAAGGATTCCATTAGTGGAGAGTGTTCACTCCAGTCGCACAAATCAAGGATTCCATTAGTGGAAAGTGTTCACTCCAGTCGCACAAATCAAGGATTCCATTAGTGGAGAGTGTTCACTCCAGTCGCACAAATCAAGGATTCCATTAGTGGAGAGTGTTCACTCCAGTCGCACAAATCAAGGATTCCATTAGTGGAGAGTGTTCACTCCAGTCGCACAAATCAAGGATTCCATTAGTGGAGAGTGTTCACTCCAGTCGCACAAATCAAGGATTCCATTAGTGGAGAGTGTTCACTCCAGTCGCACAAATCAAGGATTCCATTAGTGGAGAGTGTTCACTCCAGTCGCGCAAATCAAGGATTCCATTAGTGGAGAGTGTTCACTCCAGTCGCACAAATCAAGGATTCCATTAGTGGAGAGTGTTCACTCCAGTCGCACAAATCAAGGATTCCATTAGTGGAGAGTGTTCACTCCAGTCGCACAAATCAAGACCCAAGACAGATAAATGTCTCCCAAAAAGATTGTTACAGCATAGTTCTCCTATATATTTCAATCTGATTAGTTCAAACTATTTCCTTGGTCCCATTAGAGCAGCATGATCAATATTTCTCATTGATCATATTCTTCATTAGATAACAACACATTGTTCAGAGTCATTTGTGGCTTGCCACTTATTTTCCCTGTCTGTCTAACAATATTTACATTGTTACTGCTGATAGCTGCATATATGGTAGATTTGCTTTTCAACAACTGTTAAAGAAATAGACATGACTTTGGTTCAGACATCTAACCAACATTGTATTTTTTTCATACAGCTGACATGGGTTTTGCTCGTCTTTTCAACTCCCCATTGAAACCATTAGCAGATTTAGATCCTGTGGTAGTAACATTTTGGTACAGAGCTCCAGAGTTGCTACTTGGTGCTAGGCATTATACAAAAGCAATTGGTAAGTTTGATGCATTTAAATACAGTCAAAAAGTGTATAGTAAACACCTTAAGGAGTTAAAGAAATTGTTCTTTATAGACAGGTTGCTGTTATATGAAGGTTGATTACTGTAAAATACTTTATTTTAGTTGGAATAAATTTTCGTTGAAAAGCCTTTTTGAATGTTTTGTATGAAATTTAATTTTCACTGTTTTTTGATGAGTTGAATGTAAATTATTGGAATAAGGTTTATCCGCTGGATTTTATTTTCACTGAATCATTCCTTCTGCGAAAATAGCGAAAATAAAGTATTTCACAGTATTAAATTTGCGACAAAAAAAAATTCACAATTGAATTGACTTTGTCAATAAATAAATATATGCTTGTTTGTTTTGACTAAATTGAAAAATGTTATGTTAGTGACTTGTATGCAACACTAAACTTGTCGTTTTTTTTGATGAGAATTCTAAGTAATAAATTGGTGAGAATTTGGATTCTTACTATTTAATGGTGAGAATAACATCAAGTCTTACTGAACTGCGAGAAAATGCCACTTTCTTACTTTAGTCTTGCACTTTTTACAAATAATGATACATTTGCTCAGTGCCAGGGAGATGGCACGTTTGACTCTTGTGGTTAACTGTCTACTCTACTGTGAAAAAGTAATACCTGCTGAATATTTTCCAGGCTTGTGGCATTCTGAGTTAAGAACTTAAAATGGTGTTCAGTCTGAGGGGGCTTCGAACTATCAGTTATATTTGCTGTTGCGCTTTCCAGTGTGCAGAAAAATGTCACTGCAATAAGTGGGTCACTACTGCCTAATGATTGGAACTTGCCTCAAAAGAGAAATCTGGTGAATGATTGGCTTATGGCCAAAATGTGCTAAACAGCAAAAAAAAATACAAGTGAGGCCAAGAAAACAATGAAATAAAGAATATTTTTTTGCTAAAATCAGTGCATGCTTTTATTTTAATTCCAAAATGGTCATTATCCTTCTTCCAAAATTCTTAAAAAAAAACAATTGAAAAAGAACACACATTTTTAAGATGACACTCGATATATGGCGAGATCTAAAATCTGTGTTTTTAATCCCCGACGAAGTCCGAAAACGGGGACTTATAATTCGGTCTCCGTCCGTGTGTCCGTCCGGAGGCATATCTCAGAATCCCTTGGACCGATTCCGTTCATTCTTTGCATTTGTCTAGTACTTTATATGGGACATATGCACATGCAGTGGTTTAGCGATTCGATTCAAAAAGGCCGACTGGCAGCCATCTTGTTTTTTGAAAATGTTGTATTTTGGACATGCTTTGTCAGTTTTCATTCAAACTTAGTACATAGATCATACATGTTAAGATGCATGTCTATGACGATTTATTTCATAATTGGATCAAAGATGGCCGACTGGCAGCCATCTTGTTTTTTGAAAATGTTGTATTTTGGACATGCTTTGTCAGTTTTCATTCAAATTTAGTACATAGATCATACATGTTAGGATACATGTCCCCGACCGTTCCTGAGTCTGTCTGTCCGTCCGTCCGTCCGTGTGTCCGTCCGTCTGTGCGTCAGTCTGTCGAGAGTCATATTTCAGAATCCTGTGGACCGATTCCGTTCATTCTTTGCATGTTCTTAGTACCTTATGTGGGACATATGCACATGCAGTGGTTTAGCGATTCGATTCAAAATGGCCGACTGGCAGCCATATTATTTTTTGAAAATGTATTTTGGACATGCTTTGTCAGTTGTCATTCAAACTTGGTACATAGATTATACATGTTGCAATTGGATTAAAGATGGTCGACTGGCAGGCATCTTGTTTTGTTTTTTTTATGCGGTATCTTGGACGTGCTCTGTCAGTTTTCATTCAAATTTGGCACATACATGTACTTTATACATGTTAGGATGCATGTCCATGACAATTTGTTTCAAAATCTGGTCAAGGATGGTTGATTGACAGCCATCTGACTTTTTGGCTTTACAACTATATTTCCACTATATTATGTACCATTTTCATTTGTATTTGGCACATACATCATACATATCAGTATGTTTCATAATCAGATCAAAGATGGCCGAATAACGGCCGTTTTTATTTTTGGCCATATTACTACTACACGGAACACGTGTTTTGATGTAAATAAACAATCTGTTGTATATATCACTTGGAACTCAGGTTTCAAGGACATGCTTGCGACAACCCCTTCGCTTTAATATGACGAGCACAAAGAGAACTTTCAATAATTTAATGGGGACTGTGTCATTTTCAATGACTTGTTAATGGTCTGAAATGCGATTGTTCAAATCAGCTTAGACATCAACTGCATCTTTTATTGTAAAGAGGAAGATACAATTACCGGTAATGTTTCTCTCATCATTGCCAGACATATGGGCTATCGGTTGTATATTTGCTGAACTCCTAACATCTGAACCAATATTCCACTGTCGTCAAGAAGATATCAAAACCAGTAACCCATATCACCATGATCAACTCGATAGAATATTTAGTGTTATGGGATTCCCTCATGGTAGGTTGTTTATTTTGGTATTACGTGCATTATGGTTAAGGTGATGTGTGAGGATGGTGGTTAAGGACAACATCAAAAGTTCAATGTAAGATAAAAAACTGAATTCCTTTATTTTTTCCCAAACTCACCACCCCCACCCCCCACTGAAACTTAATTGATAAATATTGATCATGGCGTCAATTCACCATCAAATACAAATTGATAATCCATGCCCTGAAATTGACCTCATTTGACGCACATATTTACACTCGGACCAAACCATTTTCTCGTCTTGGATGTTTTTTGTTATTTTCATTTTCTGATATTTTTGTCCATGATTGGATAGAAAAAAAACGAACTACAAATACTCCAAAATTGTTTTGACTTCATTAAAAAATAAAATCATTTTTGTAGAATGGAAACGTTTTTAGGTTAACCCCCCCCCCCAAACTAAAGCAAATAAGTTTTTTATCCGACAATGATCTTTTGACGTCGTCCCTTAGTTAGTTATCTCGGGTAAGAGATGCTGAAATGTTTGAGTTACGGACATCAAGTTATGAACATCGAGTTATGAAAACACTTTATCATTAGTCATATTTCATAAACCACACCCCCACTTTTGCGAAACCACGCCCAAATTGTAACTCAATGTTAAAATAACAGACCTTTGAGTTATTGGCAACATGCATTTTTGTTTTTGTTGAACGTTCGCATTTAGTAACTCAAACTTTAATTAACAGTTAACCGAACTTTGAGTTACAGGCAACCAGGTCTATGGGGCATTTTTGTTTAACATTCAAATTTAATAACTCAAATATTAATTAACAGTAAACCGAATTTCGAGTAATGGGCAACATAAAACAATCTGAATTTATTTTTAAATTATGAACCAAATTACATAATTTCTGTGAGGTGTGTCCTCCATTGATAGCAGTTTTATGACCTTACAATAACATAATGAGTCAATGAATGTTGTTCATCATACAAAATGTAGTATAATCTCTGGAAAACATCTTAATTGATGGACAAATACAGGTCAAAGCAATTTTAAAACTTTGAATGGCTTTTGAGTCACCCTTATCCAGCATAACAGTGCTTGTCGCTAAAGGGCGACAGTTATAGGAAACGTGTATTGTGTGTATTTTGTCTAATTATACACATATCACAAAACAATTTTTTCCATGCGTACTCACAAAATATCAGAAATTTGTTGTGCTGATAAAATTCATCTACACAAGCTGTATGCAGTCCATAAGTAAACTTGTCAGTGAGTAGATGTCAACCAATGAAATTTGTTCTAGGACTCGTTTTCTATGCACCTCAAATACATGATTAGATATATACATGTATGCTCGCTGGAGAAGCTGGTCGCACACATATTATCACTTATCAACTGTCCCGCTTTAACTGATGACATGTATCAAAAATCGTCCACGGCCTCACTACTTTGGGTTAAATTTCGACAAAATCAACAAGGTTGACTAACAAAAATTTTATATTTTTTCAGAGAAAGAATGGGAAGACATTCGCAAAATGCCAGAATATGGAACTTTAATGAAAGACTTTAGGAGATCAAAGTAAGAAATTGCTTTATATTTGTTCCTGTTGACTAACTTCAAGTAATCACACATCTGTCCAGACTTGTGTCATTTACATTCAAATTTTTGATTTTCATTTGTTCCATAAATTAAAAATGGCCAACTGTTAGCCATTACTATGCCACGAAATGTTGTATCTTTTGCTTATTATCCTGCTATATGATATGACAAATGCGCCAACGTGTTTCCAAGATTACTTAAAAATTAAAAAGTTGATCAGTATTTTTTCGTATTTATGTGACCGTATTTACTGGTCTCAATGTAGAAATAGTATTGTTTATTTAACTTTTTTTTATTTTCAGTTATTCAAATGCTAACTTACCGAAGTATATGGAAAAACACAAGATTAAAGCAGACAGTAAAGAGTTTCATTTGGTGGGTGTGTTTTACATTGTCATTTTTACTGCATTATGTTATCAACAGCAATATACTGCTGCGATGGTTTATGTATTTAATAAATACTGTAAAACATGTTGAAAAAGCGGCATTCTATTTTAGCAAATTGTGGTAAAATGACGTAATAGCAAAATGTTGATTTAGTAAATCTCTCTTGTCTTTGTTGATTTCCTGTTTTCACAATACTTGATTTTCGCCTGCCAAAAAAAATGCGCAGTTATCACCTCCATAAAAACAAAGAAAAACTGTCAAGTGTAATAAGGAAGCGCTCCAGATATTACGTTGTGTGGAGAATAAGACGTTGTTTGGCCGCCATTTTGAATTTATAATGAAGTCATTAGCAACATCTTAGATTAGCGAATTAGTTCTGTTGCTAAATTCGCTAAAAAGACATGCTCGCGAAAAAGACATGTTTTATCACTGTGGCTGGATCCCAAGCTACTATAATTAATAGCCCTATGTGTATGACTTTGTTAATGTGTTCTGGTATTCCCATCATTGTGCCTGATAAGCCCTCACTGATGCAACTAGTTATGCTCATTCCCAGGCTCACCAATGATGCAACAGACAATCATACATTAAGAGATTTTCAAAACATCTTACCAGGGATTTTTTTAAACAAGGGAATAGGGGTGCAGCACCCTCATGCCATGGCAATGCACCCCCTTACCCTGGGGAGCAGATCCTCTGGCAACCATAAAATTCTGATTGACCAGGGATCACATGTTACCAGTCTTTAACTGAGACCTGTCTAATAGTAATTTGGCCCCAAGGAAGCCAGAGAATGCTCCATTTTAACTTAGAATTATCAAAAAATCCCTGGTTTTCTAGAAAAAACCCGTCTTACTATGGTTATGGAATTTGTAATTATGAAATTTACATATAATGTCACAAAGCTTAACATTTGGAATTGAGAGGACATCAATTTCTCAAATGACTTTAGTATTATAGGAATAATGTGGGGGAATATTGAAGGGCACCAAGGCAAACTCATTGGCCATTAAGTTATTTGCCTCTGATGCGTTGGATGTCAGTTTGGCACCAACATTCTATTAAACACTGATTTTGGTGTTTTCCCTAGAAAATAGATTAGCATTGGGAATTATTTGCATAACAATAGAATATATTATTCACCTCTGTATTCATTGCTACATGTATGATAATCAAGCTTTATTTAAAATATAGATTAGGGGGTCTGCTACTGTATAATGAGAAAATTTTTAACATTCACTACTATACATGTGTTGCTTTCAGCTATCTAAGTTACTTACAATGGATCCTACCAAGAGAATCACATCAGAACAAGCATTGGAAGACAATTATTTTCTAGAAGAGCCTGTACCTACTCATGAGTGAGTACTACAGTATAACTTTTGTGGAAATCTGTCAGTATTTATTGTCATGTTTCCGTCATGCTTGTATCATGTATTTGCGTCTTACATTTAACCACTGCAGTGACAATCTAAAACTTAAAGACAAACATTGCTGTTGGATTCTATGATCGCCCATGTCTGTTCATTTTTTTAAATAAACAAAAAATGAGCCATTCTATTTAATTCAAAATAAAAGCGATAAATATGCGAATGTGTAGCTTTAACTTGAAGAGAATCTCCAATGAAATGAGAGATTGAAACTCAAAGGCAAATAGCTGTTTGTGTTTACACAGATTCCACTGTAGGACATTGTCATCAATTTTTCAATACTTTTTTTTTTTGTCTCAGTGTGTTTGCAGCCATGCCAATCCCATATCCCAAGAGAGAATTTTTAACAGACGATGAGAATGATGATAAATCAGATACTGCTAAGGCACGTCAAAATGTGAGTTTCAAAACTGATCCATATAGGTATAATATGGGATTGCTTATTATAATTATGTGTGTTTTAAGTTTAATCAACTATACTTGTTTCTAAACACTGTAAAATACTTTATTTTAGCTGGAATAATTTTCGCTGAAAAAAATTTTGGGTGTTTTGTATGAAATTTATTTTCACTGATTTTTGACAAGTTGAATGTAAAATATAGGGGAAAAAGTATATTTGCTGGATTTTATTTTCAGATACAAGATGACGATCAGATACAAGATGCCTGACTGTCAATCATTTCAGTGTTAAAAAATCACCATAATCAAGCATCAGCTTCTGGATCAATCTTTCTGACATGTTTATGTTCAAACTATATTACTATACACAAAACTATATACATGTATATCTTAAATTTGATAACTAATGGGAACTGTGCCATGCATGGCTTGTTGTTTATTAACATATTCATATTTTCTAGTCAATAACAAGTTTTGACAAGTGAAACATGGATCCAAATTGTACATCATTTAATATGAAAACACTTAATACTTGTCTTGCAGACCAGCAATTCATCTAGCCATGCACCGAATGCAAAGAGAGTCCGTGTTGTTCCTCCATCCAACACTTCATCAAATCCTATTATGACACAACAAGACTATCAACAACAGGTACTTTATAGAATGTCCATAGAAGTTTTATAGAATGTCTATAAGAGTTTTATAGAACAAACGACGAAAATGCTATAAAACTTTTATAAACTTTCTAAAGAAATTCTTGGAATAATTTCTATAAAAATCAATAGAAAATGTTGATAGAAGTCTATAGAAAGTCTATCACCTGCGTATGCCTCAGATGGTCATAGCGTGTCATTGTTTACAAACAAGCGACTACCCATGAGCCTTTGCGTCTTTAGCGTATGTTGTTATCGTCGTTTGGGACTCTATTCTCGCGCGTGCGCAGGTGACAACCGTCCCGCTTCAACTGATGACATGTATCAAATAGTATGGTGTATTTGTACTGAGATTGTACAATTGTATAGCGCCCCCTAACGATGACTTCTTGCACATAGGGTCATCTGACAATTTTTTTTTAGATTGGCTGTCTGTTGAATCTTAAATGAAGATCCTGCTGGTCTGTACTTAGTTAATGTACTAGTGAATACACTAGAGGAAGGAGGTGTAAAACATTCTACACTTTGAGTTCACCCTGCTTAGTTTTAAGCTGAAATTTGTGCATAATAATAATTTTCATCTTTTTTTAACTTAACAGAAGCATGTCCTTCAGGGATACCAGGGATCTGGTGGTCAGAGCAACTCCCAACAAAACACCTTGTCTTACTCAACTGGCAGCAATGTACATGGTACTAGCAGCACAGTCTACTCAGGACAGCAGCAGCAACAACACAGATACTAAGCTCAGATGTCGGGTTTCTTTTAGCAGATTTTCCACAATTGTCCAAGTACTTTTTTAGCTCCAAAGTCGGGTAGTGCTTTTATATTACTTATTGCCTGCTGGCATAAACATTACTGTAAAATCTGTATTAGAAGCTGCGGCTTCTACTAAAATGGTACAATGCAACAGAGGGGATGCGGCTTCTATTAAAATGGTACAATGCAACAGAGGGGATGCGGCTTCTATTAGAGCATGTACACATATGAGGAATGATGAATGTTTGAGTCTCAATTATTCAAAAAAAATGGGTGTGACTTCTATTAGGAATCCGGTTTCTAATAAAGATTTTACGGTACTTCTTCTTGAAAACTATATGATACTTTCCAGAAAGGCATCGTGGATGGTCCCTTGAACTTTAATTCTGTTATCTTCTTGAAAACGTCAAACCTGATTATGTTGGTATTTCGTATGTACCTTGGGTGGACTATGCCATTGATCAGATTGCATTATTGAACAATCGGCCATATGTTTGCACATACAGTTATTAGACAACAATATTATGATACATGTAAAACAACTACCCATGTTCCATTCCAAATTTAGTTAGTTTTATCAATAAGTTAGTTAGTGTTATCTTCGCTCAGGAAAGGGTATACTTTAAAAGAAGTGCTTCATGCTATTTTTTAACTTTGTTCCAGAACAGGAAAAAGTTTTAATAAGCATGTCTATTTGGTGTTGCTGATGGAACAGGGTTTACAAACTGCCTATTTTAAGTTTATTTCTAAACACATTACGAATTTATCATATGGCAAATCCACTTAAATATATACTATTTTCGCTTAAGGTAGCGAGACTATTATTTACGATTTTCACATTTATTAATTGATGAAATGCACTATAAACTTTCATATGATAAAGTCAACATAACATAGAATGTCATGTAAGTTGGTTAAAATGTAGATTTTCTGAAGGAAAGCAAGGCAGCCTCAGTAGTGTTTTCCAAAATCAACAACACAGGTTTAATCTGTGTGCCTATAAGTTTCAAAGATAAACTCAAGACAAAGCAATGTTAGGATGTGTTATCAGTAGCTATCTGACACACAATGAGTGTTTCCAAACATTTGAGTGGTTTGTCTTCGCCCCTGTTTGTTTCACAGATTAGTCATTTGCATATGAATGTGTCAGACACAAGGTCACACAGCTACTGAAAAAAATCATTGATTTTGGTGTTTTCATATGCAGAATTTATCCAAATATAGCTATCCTATCCTTTATTTTTTTGGTTTCCAATAGCCTTACACATTTGGATGTCCCTACACATGTTAAAACAGACCTTGATGGGAAAACAAACTGATTGTGCCGATAAACAAGCTTGAAAATTTTTGCTGTGACTTCATGGACGTTTGCTAGGAGTTTATGTTTTTCAAAATACAAGGTCTTTAACAAAAAATAACGTATACTTATTGTCGTCGGATTAACACCAAATTTTCACAGCTTTAAGGTGACAATGAGAGGAACTTGAATGTGTCCAGACAAACTATTTCATCGATTATTTACCAACGAGTTGTGGTTTGAGTTGGGGG